ATATATATATATACATATATATATATATATATATATATATATATATATATATATATATATATATCAAATCTCTCTATATAACTATGATTAGGGATCAAATCTCTTTATATAACTATGATTAGGCGAGATGATATTTTTAATTTACCGAATACCATCCCGTTACTTTTTTTTTACTTTGAGCACTGTATATATATATATATATATATATATATATATATATATATATATATATATATATATATATATATATATATATATATATATATATATATATATATATATATATATATATATATATATATGTATATATATATATATATATATATATATATATATATATATATATATATATATATATATATATATATATATATATATATATATATATATATATATATATATATATATATAATTTTATTGCACTCATTAGTTTCTCATTTCCTTTCATTGCACTCATAAGTTTTATCAATTCAACTGGTACAACCTCGAAATTCGATTTGAGAATATTGTCTAATGTTTCTATGCTATCCAATAGCTTTGAATACTGTCCTCCCTTAAACTGGCCGCATTGATTTATTAGCTCAGACACATTTGTACAGTAGACTAAATATTTTGTTTGCTTATTGATTTAAAGTTCTGCAATATTAAAGAAACGATCTAAAACACAGTCTTCAAACATAAGTTTTTATTTTAGATTGGTTTCAAAAAACTCTCTTCCTTTCCAGCTCCTAAGAACACTATAAGCAGTTTCTGTTTGGGAATCACTTAACCCTAGTATATTTTGAATCTTGAGACTTCACTAGCTGGCACCTTGTTTTTCAGAAAAAAAGGACTTTCAACTCTGTTTTTTTTGGAATTTTGATATTAAAAATTTTAGGCCCTTTGTTAGCCAGCTTTATTGAATTACCTGCATCCACTTCAAATAGTTTTCGCTTTAGGATTTTTGAAGTTCTGTAATAAAATTGCGTCCCACATAGGTTCCATGTGGGTTCCGTGTGGGATTCATGGGGATTTATATGGGACGGATTTTCCCATGTGGTATCCGTATGGAATTTTGCCACTTCAAACCCATATGGGTAATCCTACATGGGTTACATGTGGGAACCATATGGTATTTACCCACATGGGAAATCCAACGTGGGTTTCTTGTGGGATTTACATGGGATTTTATTTGAAGGCTGAAAACTAAAGTATTCTTAAACTTTAAAAACAACATTACATTACTTTCGCGGTGAAGTTACATGCATCTTGTTTTAGCATAAAAATATCTTAAATTAATCTTAAAAAATGGCAAACAAGTATGTAAGTACTACAAATAATTTGTATCTCTCTTAATCGAATTAAGAGTTTTTGCGTAAATAAAAGTATTATTATGATGGTATAATAGTTGTTTTAATATCAGTATATACAGTAAAAGAAATAAGTTTAAAATTCACATAATTTCTCTTTTTCTTTAATGAAAATGAAGAGAAAAAAAAGAAAGGGAAGGGATTTGGTAACTTTATGTTGTTGTTTTATTGTACCAAATTATGATACAAAGTCTCTTGTTCGTTTGAGAGTGATCAATATTAAGTAAATTGTTTACTAAATAGATCAGTATTATTTTATAACTAGCAGTAAGCAACCCGTAATACGCGTTGTTAGTAAATAAAATAAAATAAAAAAAACCGCGTATAGAAACTGCTTTAAAATAGAAAAGCCTAGAAAATGACGTAACTCGACTAATATTAAATTAGCGTATTCATATTATCAGAAGAGTTTTGATTATTTGAAAAAATACAGCTTTGTGATGGAACTTAAAGTTTCATGCCCTTCGGCAATCATTGGCCATATTTTATTTGTATACATCAGCCATATTATATTGTATTTTTTCAAATAATCAAAACTCTTTATATATATATATAAAGAGTTTTGATTATTTGAAAATATATATATATATATATATATATATATATATATATATATATATATATATATATATATATATATATATATATATATATATATATATATATATATATATATATATTAGGAAATGCTTGAAGAAAGTAGTTTTACTTTATTCTTAATATAGTAAAAACTTAGCATTGAGCAAGCCAAGGCGATTTACTTTAATAACTGAATCGACAAAAGGCGTGTAAATCACAAAAGAACAAATAATATTTTTCACATTTATTCTTAATGTATTTATTTATAGCTGTTTTTTAAATATAAATTCATTTTGCAACACGTTTTTTAATTTTGTAGAATTTTGTTATAATAGTTTATGGTGAATCCCACATTATTTGTGGAGAACATCGCATATACTTGATCCTAAATAGCATAAAGTAGCTAATACCAGATAATATAAAGCCTCTTTGAAAGCTTCCATGATTAATTTTGATGTTTCATTTATATGGTATTCGCTTTTATAGCATTTGAATTAAAATATGTGGCATTTAAGAACTATAAAACATGTGGTATTTTCAACCTATAACCCGTGTGTGATTTACCATATATAACCCAGATACGCTGACCGTCAGGTCAAGTTATCCTGTTACTGGCAACATGTAATCTAGCACAACTTGCTGCATGTTAACGTCAGGAAGGGCGTCCGGTTGTAAAACATTGCTTTAACTCTTTCATAACGGCATTTATATGTTGCTATGGAGAACAATCCAAACCACACAAGTGTTAAAACATGAATGTAAAAATTACAAAAAAAAAAAACAAAACACATAGGACAAAATAATAATCCCCACATGGGTTACATATGGAAAAAACCCATGCGTATCCCATGTGCGCTTTTTCACTCTACAAATATACGTTACATTATATATTGGACTATATTTAATAATTAATACCTCCTGCTTCATATGTTTTACTTTCTTTTTCAGAGGTTTTGTCACATTTCTTCAGTTTTGTTAGCTCTTAACTTGTTATGGGGGTATAGTTTATAGATCGACCATTTAATGCGTATTTTATTTATGTCGTTAGAACTGTTTAGTGTATAAAAACCTGGAACCATGTTCAGTTTTTCATATATTAGGATTGAAGACTTTATCCCAATGTTAAAATAGGCAACAGCATCATAAACACCAAACTTCAGCAAAGTCAGTGAGACATATTTTGCTTTCGGTATGCGATCCCAAATTTTCCCATGGAATTCATTTGCATTTTGCGTTTTACTGTGCAGAAATTTTTTAAGCTCATCTTCTTTTGTGAGCTATTCAAACACAGGTCTTATCTTGCATACAACCTCTAAAGGTAGACAAGGTCCTGGTTTTGTAGGTGTTAGTGCTATTGTCTTTATCTCTGTTAAATTTACACCAACTATTTACACCTGTTGGACAATGTGCTAATTATTTGTTTTGATGATGCAACGTGAAAAAGGGAAGCAAGCGCTGCTGATTTTACGGTAACTAAATTACCAGTATTCTGTCTAATTGCAACACCAAAGAAATTTTACAGTCGATCAATTGTTGCATCTGCCAATCTACCACAACTGCCCAGTCCCCTAACTTTTTTTTCAATTTCCGGAGTCTGGATCCAACACGCTTCTGATAACGTCCGACACATTCTAATTTATTTACTTTAATATTAGGATAAACATCCTTGACACTATTGTAACTTTTGCTATCTCCATCATCTAAAAAGTTAACGTACTGAAACTTATATTTTTTAATCGATCGCTGGAAAATACGACGGGCTCCTTTACACTCCATTCCACCTGCAGAACCAACAAAATTCATTTGACAAATGCGGGAATTTCTCCACTCGGCATAAGCAGCAGGATCTTTTTTAGAAAGTTTTTGATTTAAGGAGCACCCTCTGCATACTCAACTCATCGCCTCAACATCTAAAACTTTCCCCTTGTCCATTGAAAGTGCTGCAAATACACCATTCAATGATGAAAATCCCCTACACTGCCATGTGCCATCACATGACACACCAACATCAAGAATCTCATTATTATCTTGACACTGTGGTCTTAAATCAGATACAGCATCGATCATTGTTTCTTGTGCAACTTCCTCTGCAATATTATTAATTTTTAAAACAAGTTTGTAAACCTTTCAATTCCGGAATGTCCTAATCCAAGAGTTCTTATTGTATATACTGTTCGATTGTTTATATCAAAGTTTCCTTTTTTATTAATTAACTTAAAAGTGTAAAAGTCATTTTAATATTTACACTTTAAACAAATAGTAAAAAGTTCACATGCAAGTCATTGCTTTTTGCTTTTGTTTTCAATGATTTCTAAAGTCGTTTGGAAACAAGTTGGACAGCTCAAAACGCCAATAACATCAGCCAAAATCGAACAATCAACAATTCTATATCCTGTCAGAACTTTATTTTTAGTATTGGTATATTTTTGTGATGTTAGGCTAATGACTACTTTAACTTTGCGAAGAGAAGCGCTTGGCGTATCGAAGATGTCAGTTTGACTACTTACAGATGATTCAATATTTACACTTTAAGAAAAAAAATTTAGATTGTTTACACTTACAATGCTACGTAACACTTTTCTATTAAAAATCTCCTTTCTTTTGCCTGCTCGCTTAGTTCTTACTTTAACTCGATCAGCCTTAACCATGTTTGAAAACTAAAAAAACTCAGGCTAGAAAATACGTCAAGAAATGAGCTCTACAAATCAAAAAATACAAACTAAAGCTTGGTTTCCAATAGTTGTAGAAATGTCTTACAACAGTTGTACAACATACCTTTGATTTGTTGTGCGGTAATTTGTTGTGCAACGTTGTGTTTCCATTATAATGAGTTGCCGCTAATTTTTTAAATAATAACAAAAAAAAATGGCCGCCACTAGAAATTATGCTACTCAAAACTATCGACTTTTTGTTATACTTTTAATTTTAAAACGCCGAAAAAGGATAAAAAAAAGAAAACATCAGTTTTGGGTGAGAGAACTATTTAAAAAACGTGTTCAGCAAGGTGCATTTAGTTCTTTGGTGAAAGAAATGAAGCTGTTTGATAGAGAATTTTTTTATCGATATTTAAAAATGTCTCCTGACAGACTTGAACATCTTTTGTCATTAATTGGATCTTCATTAACGAAAAAGTATTGTCCCAGTAGAGATTCTATATGTCCGTCGCAAAGATTAATTATAACAATTCGATACCTTGCTACAGGAGAATCACAACAAACTCAGTCATTTTATTTTCGAGTTGGCAGAGCTAGTTTGCCATATAATTGAAGAAACTTGTTGTGCAATATGGAAAGTTCTCAAGAAAGTCTTTCTACGAGCCCCAAATGACGTAAAAGAATGGCAAAATATTATTAAAAAGTTTGATCAAGATTGGAACTTTCCACAATGTATAGGAGCTATAATTGGAAAGCATGTACGCATTGAAACACCTGCAAAATCTGGATCTTCTTTTTATAACTACAAAGGGTTTTACAGTATGGTTTTATTAGCAATTTGTGATGCTAAATATTGTTTCACAATGGTTGACATTGGGGCTTATGGAAGGGATAATGATGCTGCAGTTTTAAATGCGAGAGAGCATTTAATAAGGGTTATTTTAATTTACCAAAAATTTCTGAATTTGATCCTAAAGTTCCACCGATCCTTGTTGGAGATGACATATTTGCACTTAAACCATGGTTAATGAAACCGTACCCAGGTAAAAATCTTACTGTTCAGCAAAGAGTTTTTAATTATCGCTTATCTAGAGCACGTAGAACAATCGAAAATAGTTTTGGAATTTTAGCAGCTAGATGGAGAATATACAGATCTCCAATTAAAGCAAAGCCGTTGAAAGTGGAACATATAATAAAGGCTACTGTTTGTCTTCACAACTATTTGCGTTTAACAGATGGAGCGCATTATATTCCTACTGGTTTTGTTGATAGTGAAAGTCATTCAGGAATTGTTATTTAAGGAGATTGGAGAAAAGAATTACAAGATCAAGGGTGTTTGCTTGATTTCTCAAAATCAACAAGTAATAGATCTGTTTTTGATGCAATTGCAATAAGAAATACTTATAAAGATTATTTTAATTCATGTGAAGGAATCCTTTCGTGGCAAATGGACTATGTTCAATCGTGTGGCCACAATCCAGTTAATAACTAGAATGTATGTAATAAACAAAACTTCCTAATAAAAGAAAATATGTTATATTTAACAAACCAATAATTTACTTTTTTTTTTATAGTTAAAAGATATACTTCAACAGTTACCTAATAATTAATAAAAGATTAACATTTTATACCTCCATGATTTTCTAAAATAAGTTATAGTTTACCACATCAATAGACTTAACAAAATAGTAAGCTAAATTTAGTCTATTCCAATGATTAATCAAAAGTAACTTCACATCTAATTTTACTTAAAATGTTATGTTTCTTGCATCAATAGGTTAAAAAGAATAGTAAGCCAGAATGTGTCTTTTTAAACAAATTATCAACAGTTACTTCATAGTTTATTTACTTCTAAAGTACAGTTTTTCCACATTCACCTCTAATTTATGTCTGGAAACTCTAATTTAAGAAGTAATGTTTGTATTTGAACTTTAGCCAAGGCTTTAGAATAGTTGTTTAATCGCTTAAGTTGCGGAACTAATGATTTCATAAATAAATAATCTTCATCCTGCTCTTCAAGATTCGGAGTTAATTTTCTCTTCAATATTGGAGTTAATTTTTTCTAATGTTTTCACTAAGGTTCTATCAAGTAAATCATCAGAATCCAACTTTTTTCTTTTTTTTTTGTTATTAGCGTGAATTGTTGACTCACTTGACTCTCCTTGCACGCAAGTATTTATACAGCTGTTTTCTGTGGTCACCTCTTCAGATATATGATCATTATTAAATGGATGATGAGTATTTTCAACTTGCTCACATACCATGTCAATGTTTTCTTCCAAATTCGATGTTTCTAATCTGGAGTCAGAAGGTAAACAAATACTGGTTGTTGTTTCGCGATGTTCTATAAAAGTATTTAGCCAATCGAGCTGAAGAAACTGAGGTGGAACTGAGTTCCTTCCAGAACCTGATGGAATATTTTTTTTTGATTTCAGCCACCTTCCATAACTACTTCGAATGCTTTTATATTTCTCTTCCGCTTGATTAGGAGATAAGTTTGAAAGACGACCAACTTCTTCCCATGCATTTTTCTTTTTCCATTTATCTTTAAAATCTTTATTAAACTTGTCATACAATACTGGAAATTTTTGAACTTCATTCATAAAAGCTGCTTTAGATAGTTTTTCAAACACACATAATGGAGTTGTCGTCATGTTTTGTAAAAAATGAAGATGTTTTATTAACTTTACAGTTTTTGTGCAGTTTCCAATAAAAAATTAACTGCGCGACCAAAAAAACGGTTGCAGAAATAGAATTTTTTCAATACTCACAACCGGAGTTGTACAACATGAGTTTTGTTGTACAACCGACGTAAAGTTGTATAAAAAGTTTCCATTATAAGACAAAGGTGTTGTACAACTGTTGTACGACATTTCTACAACTATTGGAAACCAAGCTTTAGTCTTCATATACCAAAAATAAAGTATTAACAAGCCTAACAAGAAGCCAAAAATGCTTTTAACTTGTGAAATTAATACGTTGTTTTGGTTTACAAGTGATTATTTTATGGGCACAAAATTTTGTACCTAACTCTAAAAACAAAAAGTTTTGGTATTTAGAGCTATTTTTAGGTAAAACCGTAATAATTTCTGAAACCCCCATATTTTTAATTGTCTAAATTAGTTTTTTTTTGTTTTTTTTTTGATTTTTTTTTAATTTCTGGGGGAGTATATCTCTTAAGGTGGTAGTATGGTCAAAAACTTCCAATTTTTTCCAACAAATGTTTTTTATTAAGTTTTTTTTCTGTTAAAGTTGTTATTTATTTTATGTGAAAAATTGTAATATTGTTTAATCAGCGAAATAAAAATTAAAAAAAAATTGAATGGGCGGTAGCGCAATTTGATTAACTAAATCGCAGCTTAACTAAACGCAGACTTTCCACTTAGTAGAGGAGTTGCGAAAGTGCTTTCACTAAGCAAATACGGTAGCGGACTTTTGTTCAAAACATGTATTCAATGTTCATTGCATTCGAAACTTCGTCATGCAAAATAATGCTTGCAAAATAAATGCACATTCTTGTTATTTTTTTAGTTCAGTTTTTCAAAACATTTTCGTTTTAACGGTAAACGGTAGGGGTTCATTTTAGTTTGTATTGTCAAAAAATAAGTTCATTTTTATTTAACTAACCATTGTATTGTACTTATTAATTTTTACATTGAAACCAGCAAATTATTGTGTCTTAACTTTTAAGTTTTAAAAATAAAATATGGCTTTTTAGGGAGATCCATCCAAACAACACAAGCGTGGAACCCTGGACGTTAAACTTATAATTATGTATGTATGTATGTATGTATGTATGTATGTATGTATGTATGTATGTATGTATGTATGTATGTATGTATGTATGTATGTGTGTGTGTATTAATGTATGTATGTAAGTTGAACTTTGCTTAACGTAATTTATGGAAGATCCCTCATAAAACTTCTTCTGCTTGTATTATTAAGTGCTAGAATTTTTACAAAGTGTTTAAATCCTGTAAATTTTTAAAAAACATGTTTTTGGTTTTTTTTAAATAAAAGTTATAATGTCTCTACTTTATAAGTTAAAATTAAGAAAAAAACTTTATGCTGATAGTAGTAGCTCTTTTTTTCTATTTCCTTGAGGAATATTCAATGCCTTTGCAATAGTTAAAATAATTCCAGAAACGAGCTCATTTTAAATAAGCATTAAGAAAGTCCTCATTTTAAATAAGCATTTAAGAACTTTGAGATTTCACAGTTCTGGAAATTAAGGTTAAAGTTAGGACTTCATAATATACCGCAATTGTATTATAATAATTTATAACATAAATTCTTGATAAGTATATAGCATTTTAAATAAATTTTAAAAAGTTGCTTGGAGTCCATAGTAAGATTTTAGGTGTTTTTCCTTCTAATCATTTATTTTGCAGATCAGATATTTAACGAAAATATATAGATTTTTTAAATTAATAACCCACTAACTTCAATTTCTTGGAAAGCTATGAGTACTAAATTAAAGTTCTTTCAACTAAAAAGTTCTTTTAATTATAAAATAAAAGTTCTACAAAAAATCTTTACTTTCTAAATAAAAAATCAATGCAATTTAATATTTTAATAAAAGGGAATTTTTATAAGAGAAAATAATTTTCCTAACAAAAAAACCCATTATTTACAAAAAAGTTAAGAGTGATTACAAAAGAACTAACCCCCACATTTATACAACTGTGCCTTTTCATTAAGAAAAATATTTTCCGCTTTTGCGAAATATCGCGATATAACACAGTATTACGATAAATTAATATCGAGTTATTAATGATACAACTTAAATATTTAATATCAAAGTGCACTTTAAAAAAATTTAATAACAATAAACATTTGCTTTATAAACTGATTTTCTTAATAACTGATTTTAGAATTAAATTAGGTTATTTCGCTAAAAGAAATTAAAAAAAAAAATTTCTGTGAAACCACCCAATGGGACAGTTTTTCTTAAATTATTTTTAATTTTAAACCCTTCGTAAAAATATCTCCAAAAAATATTTTTGAAACAGTATGTAACAGTAATGTTGCAATGGTTTATAATGAATTAAAAACGCTTACACTGGATTTTGTGAGCAATGAATAGGTTTGTGACAGATCTGTCACATGGTGATACGAAGGGTTAAAAACAATTGACCTTCCCTCATAAATGCAATACATTATGGGGAAAGGTCAATTGTTAATGCTTATTTAAAATGAGGACTTTGCTTGTTGCTGAAATTATTTTAACTATTGCAAATATTCCTTAAGGAAATAGAAAAAAAGAGCTACCACTATCAGCATTTGTATGTGGTATTTATATGTGCGCGGAAGTAAACAACAAAAATAAGTTGAGTAAAATGTAAAATATTGAAAGATCTGAGATTGTCCCGATAGACTTAGGTGTATTTTATTTCACACCTTTTAACTTTTTTTAGTTCAAATTTTAAAAACTATATTAGACTTCGAAGAAAAGATAACAGCAAATACACCAAACTAAAAAAAAAAAAAAAAAAAAAAGTCAGAATTTTACGTGTTGTGTACCTAAATGCTTTAGCAACTAAGTAAAACATAAAAATTTATTGTTTTATGCGGTTCCAACAAAGAAAATTTGGAAGAATAAAAAAAAAATTAATTTTTAATAATAACTTTTACATCCTTTCAAATATTTTTTTAATCATAAACTGAAAACAAAATGTATTATACAAGGTAAAATCTTATTGTACCAGTTTTCATTTTCAATTTAATTAATTGCACAAAAAAAGCCTATATTTTTGTATAGAACAAAATCAATTTCACTCTTTTCTGTAAAAGCTTTAATACTTTTGATGTTGGCTATAAATTAACTGTTTGATTCTTAATTTTTGTTGTCTATTACTATTTCCATAGAAAACGTTTTAAAAGAAAAAGTTTGTTTTATTTAAAGACTTCTTTTTAAAAAAGAACACTTTACTTCAATTATTTAGTAGCTATCTTAGTTCATACACTACCAGGGCTAGAACCAGCCAAAGTATTTAGAATTTATAACAAGATCACATTATTTAGCATTACAGTTAGCTTTTTCTTTAAATTTTCATGAGCAATATTTTCATTTCCAATACTCTATTAAGAAGCTTGTGATCGTAAATTACTATCACTGTTTCTTATAAGCTTTTTTAATAATGAAATTGGAGGAGTATCATTTATACAGTTTATAACTGTACCAAAACATAGATGCAGTTTTTGATTTTGTTCTTCAATCCATTCTTGTACTGATCTTTAGTTTCTAATTTAACTTGAATTATTTTCTCAACATTGGTTAACATTATGGCAAGCTTTAATTTTCCCTTGTCAAATTAGTTTTAATTAAACGGTCCAGACAATGTAGAAATTTTCCCATTACTACTAGGCTTAAACTTTTCAACATTTTTTCATTTACTTGTTAATTATTATTTCACAAAACGACTTTGGCCAAATTTAATTTCAATAATTACACAACCATTGTCATTCCTTGGTTTAATTCTATATAAAATATTTGATTCAACTCTAATTTATTTTACAAAGTTCTCTTTGAATAACTGATAACTAATAATTTTATGTTTAGCAGCTCTTCTTTCAAAATATCGTTTGATACTAAATAAGTAAATATATGTTGATGTGTTATCGGAAACAGAGATGTTGTCTATTGACCATTAAATTACATCTTTGGAGATTATTCATCGCTGTTAAATTCCTCGTTTGTAATTATACAATATTGCATTTAGTGGAATGCTAGGGCTTTTAAAAAAGCTAGAACCAGCAAGAATATTTCTAGTTATATTAACTATATATTCTTTTACTTATGTATACTTGTAATAATATACTTCAAACAAGCTTCTCTAACGGAATTCAATTATAACTGCGTTAAAATATTTGTTTGTGATACAATGCAATTATTCTCCTGCTGAGATAATAAGATTTGTAAAGGATTTAGGGGTAAATCTAATTAATTATGAGAGAAAACTATTACCTATGTACGAGCAAGCCACGAAATGATGAAAACTTAAAAAAACTACGAATTGCGAGTTTTTGATTTTTCTGTTAATACAAACACAATAATGCATTGCGTGATATAATAATAAAGGGAATGGTCAATTAAGCAACTTCGCCGAGCGAAAAAAAAATATTAACTATCTGATTTTTTATTTCTTCTAATGCTGCTCATCAATAATAATGATATTCATAAAGTAAAAAAAACTAGTCTTTATACAAAGCTATTTTTACAACCAGTTTGAAACGTCTTTAAATTAACCAGGTTTTTATTATTTGAAAATGACATTATTAAAATTCTGTTAATTCTCGACTTTTATTTCAACAGTTAACTATATAATAAGAAAACGCATCAAAATTCGCAGTTTATTGACTTGACTAACACTTCTAATTCAAATTTCTGGCGTTGCTTAATAGTTTTTAATGTCCACGTCCACGACCTACATGTAAAAAAAAACATAAATAAGCGTGATTCACATCAATTAAACATAATTTTTATATAATAATAATAATAATAATATATATGGAGTGGTATACCGTCCCATTATTTCAGTCGCCCTGCGGGCGTCTGAAGCAGTTTTTATTTTTTATTCAAGTTGTCTGTTATGACAACCAGTAGCCCGGTGTAAAAGTTTTTTATCTTGATATTTTTTCTCGGGTGAAACCCGAGAGAAATAGTTTGCATAAACTAAAACTATTTTTAAAACATTTTAGTTTATGCAAAGCCGTGTACTTTATTTTTAAGTAGCAAATTATTATATATTTATTAGCGAAAAAGCTATAAAACAAAAAAGAAAAAAAACAAAACAACAAACTTACGACTACAAAAGTAATAACACTATAGTCAATAAATGCATTATAAAAGTAATTCAACTAAAAGTGTTATTACTTTTATAGTTCATTCTTTGTTTAAACAACATTATTAATTCTA